TATATATATATATAAACTAACCAAACAAAGAGGGAGAAAATTAAAGATTTAACTCAAGTAAAGTGTATTAAAGATGAAAATAAAAAAGTACTTTTCTTAAAAAAAAATATTTAACATAGGCAGGTGAGTTATTTTGATAAATTTTTTAATGAAGTTTCTAAAAATACGACCGACCTTAGTGCTCATAATGTTGTTAATAATAATAAAAGGTTTCATTTTGTACCGTCACATTAGTAAAAACGAAGTTGAGTAGAGTTCACAAAAAAATCAAGGGTGAAAAGTCTGTAGGATATGATGATATTCCAATTGAAGTGTGGAAATATATAACAGATTTGAGAGTTTCTTGGCATAGTAAACTTTTATTTTAAAAACTAAAAAGATGAGCGGAAGAAGAGTATTTGGTCCCTATTTTTAAGAATAAAGGGGATGCATAAGAGTGTGCAAATTATAGAGGAATTAAGTTGATTGTGTCATACTTTAAAATTATGGAGAGGGTAATTGAACATAGGTTAAGACGTATTACAAAGATTTGTTATAATCAATTTGGATTTATGCCGAGCAGGTCGACTATGGAAGCTATGCATTTATTGAGAGGTTTGATGGAAAAGTTCAGAGAGAATAAGGAGGATCTACATGAAATATGAAATATTAGAAAAATCTGAAGATAAATATGATATATTAGAGAAAAGATACTCAAAGATAACACCTTGGTAGCCAAACAAGCAACCAAGCAAAAATAACGAGCAATCAAGCCAATGCTGACTCGCGAAGGACAAATAGAAGTAGATATTAGAAAATGTACACAAAAGACAAACCTTAAGCTCTCGCGGTTGAAAGCCTTTCGTGATTTTGAGAGGAGAAGGAGAAGACTCATAAGAAGGAGGGCGGCCGAACTCGAAAATTTGGAGTGGGGAAAGGGAGGCTGGTTGGTTTAGGGTTATTTTCGTTATATATAATATATTATATTAAATATATAACTTATATTATATAAATATATAATATTTATATAACTAAGAGTAATATATTATTATTATTAATTTATTATATATTATAATTTATA